GGCTTGGTCCTCGTCGACTCCAACCTATGATCTTGAGTGCGGCAAGCATGGCAGAAAAGTTGGGAGTGAAGTGCAGAGGAGCCATGACACATATATATATATATACCTGAAGCTTCAAACGTACCTTAAATTTAAGTACCTTTGAGATTTGTAGCTTAAACTGGTGTCAGTGGTGGGACGCACCTTTTTTGAAGACTCGAGCAGAAATCGAGCTTTTATGGATCTTGGGGGATTCCATTGAAGCCATTTGGCTGAAGCCCCGTCTGTGTGGAGGTGCGCGCGAACCAGGCCGGTGCATTGTACAAGTAGCGGTGCAGTCCTTAGATGCCACACTGTGCCAGGCGCATGGTGGCATTGGGGCTTTGGGGGACCTTTGGATCATAAGGCTGGGTATATAACTCCTGGAACTTCAAGTTTGCCGGGCCACGCCGGGCCCCCACTTCCAACCCATATTCTGAACTGTGACTTCGCAGGTCTTTGGTGGTCTCTTTGTGGGGGATCTCAAAGAGGCGGGACCTGCTCTTCACCTGTCCAATGAATTTGGTTATATTTGGTTGATGTATTCACTGTTCCCGAAGGTTTTTTGGCTCCCATAGGCTGAGTTTGGCCAGTACATACGCCTGGCATGCCGTCAGCTCCGTCGTTGGTGGCTGCGGATTGGGAAAGGATGGAATGGTTGGTGACCCAAGCCCAGAAAGGTGATATGGTCAACTATAGCAACCAAAATGGGTTCTTGACTAGACGGGACGTTGTGAACAACGCGGATATCTTGGCACCTTTGATTACGCATCTGGGTACTTTGCCTAAATTATGTGAGTGGATATGCTTGTACGAGTGCTTGTATGTACATGTCGGCTGGCATCCGGAAAGTGTACCGTACAGCCTGATCAGGTATGAGGCCATCTATCTATCAAATTTGTGATGCGGTGGAAGAGCTCTTTTGGAGGGTACGACCCAGCGGCAAAGGACCTATCGATGGAGCCTTTCTTGCAATTGATCAAACCAGAAGCGCTGCATTGGTTTGCCATTGGTCTCCTCTTGCGGTTCCATGCCATGTCCCATGTTTGTCCTGCCCAGGAGGGACCGTCAAAATGCAGGGCTGGGCCCTTCGGCGCTTGGTGACCGAGTTTGCCCGCGCGGCACGGCGCCCACATGTTCCAAGGGAAGCTGGGATGAGGAATCTTTTTCTTACTGCAGGCATCCCCTTGCCCGCAGGGGCTGATGGCTACTTGACTTAATTCCAACCAAGCTAGTGTGGAAACATGTGCTCAACAAGTTGATGTAGACTCTTCATGTCTCTTTCCAGCTGCAACTTCAACCTATAACCTCATCGAACCTAATGAGGTGAGATCAACGATGCCGAAGCCGATGACACGGCCGGTGGTGATGACGAGGGTGGGGAAGAAGAGGAGCTGGAAGATGATCAGCCCATTGAAGTTCATGAAATGGAGGCCAGGTAATATGACCCACCCAGGGCACCCCATCCAACGACCGACAACCCACCCAACTTTTCCCATGCCAGGCCACGGAGGCCCCTGATCCAGCTCTTGCAGCTGCAGAGACTGCAGCGACGGCCAGTCCTGGTGAACGACCGACTCCACGGGAAAGCGTCTTGGTCCAAATTGGCCCACGCGCATTACCTGTCAACAAGTTGATTGGTGCCTTACAACCCTTAACTTTGGCCTAGGTCTGAACCGCTCCAAGTCCACCGTGTCGCTTCCCACCCCACCTCCACGAGGCTGGCAAGAACATATTTAGATCGACAGGTAGCATGATGTACACAGGTGGCATGGTTTACGTTGCAAGCTTAAGTGCTCTTGGATTACTAATGCATTAAGCCCTGGTGCAGGCCAACCGCCTGCAGAGCCAACCCCGGAGAAGGTGCTGAACAACGCCAACAACTTTCACTCAGTGAAAGTAGAATCTGATGGTTATGAGTGTCGACTTTGCTCTGCGTTTGCACCAGATTTGAACTTGCTGAAGTCAGTTCCTTGTGTACGGGGTGATTCTTCATCAACCTCCAAAAAGAGCAACGCAGGGGCTTTACGTGAGGAGCTAGACAAGCTTAAGAAATTAAAAGAGTTACAAAAGCTTCAGAACCACTATGCTTGGTTGCTGGACCAGCAAAAGTCTTCGCGCGGCTTGCCAAAGTCCTTTGTGCCGGCCACCGGTGCAACACCACCTCTTGGTCAGCGCCTCAAACAAGAAGCATCTGAGGTCAGTAGTGATGGAATCTTCTTGCAGTTTGTGTTACGCTATATACTATAACCATGCATACATATCGGTCATGTTAAACTTGACTGGCCCTAGGCATTGACAACGTCGACACTCAGCTCATTTCCCCAGAGAAGACTGAGAAGACCATCCATGTGCGCGAGGAGTCTCCACAGTCTGTTGCTACAACTGTGCAGAAGGGTAGCATTTGGGCACCAACACCTGACTCCGTACTGGCTGAAGAAGCTGCTGTGAAGGCTGAAGAGGCTCCTGCTGAGCATGATGGGCCAGCCATCGAGCAACCTGCAGCTTTGGAAAAGCCAAAGGAGTCAGACCAGGGTACAGAAATGGTGCCCGTTGAAGTGAATAGCCATCAGACAGAAACCAAGCCAGACGCGCCAAAGGAAAAGCTGGGTGAAACTCCCACGGCTGTGATGGCAGCAGCCACGCCAACAGGTGTGACTGAGGATCAACCCAAAGCCGATGAGAGCGCAGAGCCTGGGAAAGGCACTTCACAAAGTGAAGCCAGCCGTGAAGAGCAGCAAGAAATTGATGGCCCCAAGGAGGGTACCGATCACGATGATCGTTCCAAAAAGCCTTCACCAACCATGCCTGTGGCGCCTGAGGGTTTGAAGAAGATCGATCCTATTGGTCCAAAGGATCAGATTGCACCCAAAGTCCGAAAACCCAAGGCCAAGGCAAAAGCTAAGGCCAAAAGCGCCGCGGCCAAAGCCAAAGGCAAGGCGCCAGCCAAAAGGCCAGCAGCAGCAAAGGCAAAGGCAAAGGGGCGGCCTCGAAAGCGGAGCCGTGACCCTGTGGAGAGCAAGGAAGAGGAAGAACCAAAGGAGCATGATCAGCCAGAAGAGGATCAGCCAGAAGCGGAGGTCAAAGATGAAAAGAAGACCAGTGCTGAAAATGAACAGCGCCGCCCGGAAGAGCCCAGAGCTGGCGCCAGCGCAAGGGCAAAAGCAGCTGAGGCAAAGGCTGGCAGGGTTCGCAGGGCAAAGGCAGCGCCCAAGCAAGCAGCGAAAGCAAAGGCAGCGCCTGTGGCTGGATCAAAGCGTGGACACAAAGACTCCGACTCCAAGTCGAAAGCGTCCAAAAAGAGCTCGGCCTATCATGCTGCTGTCAAAGCTGGTCGCGCTGCTGGCAAGTCTGAGGATGAGTGCAAGGAGCTTGGACGTCAGGCCTTTTGGTTGCACACAGCTAGATCGATTCGTCGTGGCATGTGGTGGCTATGTCATCCATATATAGTGGACATGTGTCTTTTGCACTGCCCTTAAGGCATATGCAGCCGTGGTGTGAACGTGGTGCAGGGGAGCGCTGAGTTGGCTCGGGGCTAGCTGGGGTACTGTCAATCAGTACAACCTTTTGATAGCTAGATAGCGGATGATAGTGGCATTTTCGTTGGGTAGAGCAGTGGCTAGAACCTTGCAAGCTTCACACATGGAGATGCAGGGGACCTACTGCAAGTTAGCAAACGGAAGCGTCGCTGAAAAAACATGTTTCAACTTTCCAATGTTCGATCATTGAAGTATACGTGCATGCATGAAAGCATATATGCGCAACTCTTACGAGTGAACAAATTGTCTGATGATTTGCGCAACTCTTTCAAGCGGCCCTCCCAAACATCGAGCTTGAGCGCCAGGCTTTGATATGAAGAGAGCTCCGTCTTCTTCTTGGTGGTTTCGAGCGAGGTTGACACGTGCCACCCACCTGTCCGGCCAAGAGATTGTGTTATCGAGTCTTTTCATCTCACATTGCACAGCGACAGTTTTGTACATGCACATATCCCATACACCCTGAAGAGTTTGGCTCACTCTGCGCATTTTGCAATTTCTGTGTGGGTGAGATGAAAGACTCCGTGCCATGCAATCTGATGTCCATGGGAGCACCCAAGGTGGGCTGCCTGTCTACTATAGAATTGTTGATATGGGTTTGTAGGTCGATACAATTCACCGCGTACGCCACACACTTGTTTCAGGTGCTTGTGGCTTTGGTGTGACCCTCAACTAGCCAGATCAAAGAACAATACATCCCACCTCCCTCTTTCCACTGCAGCCCTCTTGGACAAGGTATTGCTCTACAGCTTTACTGACTTGCAGGTCAGAGGCCCACCCGTTCACTTTTTTGAGGCGTTCTCGGGCTGTGCTCAAACCACACGAGTATGGTGTGGGACCTAGTTTTGGAGGCCTCACGTAAATGAAATATATGATCGAACACTTGGCAAGTTTGGATTTTTCACTGAGGCACAAGAAGGGGTTCTCGTGCGCTAGCTTTGACTTCGATTATAGCCCATCCATGGACTTTTGTCGGCCTTCGGGATTTTTGCTACATGGCTACACTATCGTGCTCTATCACTATCATATGCGGACATGCATGCGTGGAGGTGTACAAGAAATGGCCCATACACCAACTCTACCTGGTAAGCTCAGGCTATGTTTGGGAACAGTTCTCCATGAAGTGGAGAACGCAGTCAACGTGCTGGCGCCAATTTGCAGTTCGTGGGGGATGCCAGCTCGTTATACAAGTATGAGGTCTTTCTTCAACCCACAAGGTCAAGAGCAGTATGCGTTTGTGAGATCAGCCAATGTTATGGTTTCAAGGCCACATCGATGATGCTTAAATTACATTTTCTTTTGCGCGTCAACAGTTTCAAGTTTCAAGTCAAGTGTGCATGCGACGCGAGAACCTTAAACATGCATGTAAGGTTGGTGCTCTTGATCTTGGTCATACTCGCAAAGAGATCAATCTTTGTATTGGAGAATCCTTCTGGATCCCTCATATATAGACACGCTCGCTTTGAACAACTTTGCAACAAGATAGCCTACGTACAGTTCTCAGAACTCTCGAACGATGAGTGGATGGTGTTGCCTAGATCAACCAGTCAATATGTTTTCATCGGCCGTCATTGCGCCCAGGTTTTCAAGATCTCATTTTGGATGGGTCTCCTTGGGAGTCGCACTCCCAAAAGGACCTTGATCTGGTCAAACGACCGCTTCATCAAGGCCCTGGATTTGGGGAGAATGGCGAAGGGGTCGAAGAAGGCCTCCACATCCCGTAGCTTAGACCAGTGCAGCCCATATGTTTTTGACCTACTAGGCCCACTAGGCATGGTCAATTTGTTTGGACCCCTCACCAAGGTACTTATCGTGATTCCAATGGACGCAAAAGGTTCCAAGGCAAAAAGGATGAGGCCTACACGGAAGGCTCCAGTCTGTTGCATACCTGATCCCTGAAGGTCGCTGTACGAGAAATAGTCCTCAACAATTACATTGATCTCCTCTTCGCCGTGGATAGGTGAACATCTAATTTGATTGTTCTCTTTCGCCCATGTCCATGCGTGATCGACCATGGACCTGGGGCCACAGGCGAAATGAACGCAGGGCACTGATTAGTATAGGCCTGACATGATTCTTGTGTTTCAACAGATCGAGGGTTACTAAGAGGCCTACTTGCTCCAGTGCTTATCGTTGAGCAAATACAATTTGGTGCACCACAGTCCACCCTTACCGCGGTCCAATTGCGAGCGGGACCATTTGGTCACCTCAACCTCCAGCTGGGTAAAGTTGCCAGATTTGAGGAACAACTCCCTGAGCTTGGAACCTGGGGACTGAGATGCATACTTCCTGACCCCCACCATTTACTCAAGAAGCACAGCTTTAGAGAAGACCCTTACTTGCCATATGTTCCGTGTCAAGGTCCCAGCCACGCCCGGAATCCGTTTTCCAAAGCTTCAATGCCTCAGCAGAGGCAGCCGGTGCGCCGTCCTTGGACTTGTTGAAGTAGCGCCGCATCCTGAGATTGGAAAGGGGCTTGGAGGAGACGCCACACCAACCCAATCATGAAATTCAGCTCGATCTAAATGCAAACCAAATTCTGATGGTAGACGTTGTCAAATTTCAGGATCGAGGCGGAATCATTTGGCCCAGGAGGTGGGTCAAGCTTCATTTCCCCAGACTTAGGACCACCAGAAGCATCAGGTGTAGGTGACGCTTTGGCTTTGGCAGCCAGTGGGGTTTTCAACGAAGGTGCCGGAGATCTAACCTGTGTGGGGGAGAGCATTGATGGGGTATCCGGCTGTCGATCTGGCCACTCCTCGTGAGTAGGTGCAGGGTCAACTACATCTGCGGGCAAATGCTTTGCCCGATGAAGCGTTGGAGACACACCTTTGCCCTTCCCCGCAAGATAGTGACCATCAGCTTCTGCAACTTGAATATCGCCTGTCAAGTGTTTCTACATGGGGCGTTTGTGTCTTTTTGAATGATTCCCCATTGACCAACCCATACCAAACCCCACACCTGGCTCCAGCAACTTGTCATCCCTCAAGGCACTTGCCGGTTGCCGTGGAGCGTTGTTCCGGATCAAGGCCCTCTCCATTCCAGCGATCCGGAGTTGTGTTGCCTGAGCGAAAGGTTTGTTTCTCATGGGTGGTCACATGTGTACATTGAGCACATGAGTCTACAGCTACAGCTAGGCGATCGGCTTTGATCAAAGCATCGACGTCCATGGGATCTTCTGGATCACCAGAATTCTGGGACCGTAAAAGTCCAGCTCCATATTTAAGTGTGCTGCAGCTTCCAGTCCGATCCATGGGAAGCAAAGAAACGGACAGCGAATCCCGCCAAAACTCTTGAAACCTATGGTTTGTGCCCCAAATCCTCCGAACATAGTACGATCGATCACGATAAAGCAATACCGATCTGGCCGAAGTGTACCTGAAATTAAATTTGCGCGCATTTTGCAGATATTTGCGCGCATTTTGCGGGTATTTGCGCGCGTTAGGATTTTGATTTTGGTGCGTTTTTCCGCAGTGATCACTACGAGCTCCGATTCGGGCTCCGAATTTCGATTAATTATGCACATGTCGAGCCATCAACTCTGAAGTTCCACCAATGGCTCATGTGGAGAGCTAGCTGCACACGAAGACGAGGGACATGGAGCCTTGGCCACACCCGTGAAAGTCTTAACAGAGGTCTGCAGTATATAGGGGGCCCTTAGTAGTACAGGCCAAACCTCACAAAAAGTTCCATCAATCAAAGAAACCTTATTCCGGATCTCCATGTATTCACGGTGGAAGGTGCCAATTGCTTCTGTCCACATATCTGGGATTTTAAGGTTCTTGTAGTTGATCAGGTAATCATACACTTCCCCCAACATCCCATCTTCCCACTGATCTAGATTGCAAGGGTAAGCCATGAATGCACTGACCTCATCGGTGCCAGGCAAGTCATACATCCGGCGAAGGTCGGCACGGAAGGGAGTGTTGCTGGCATTGAGCTGGAGGACCCACAAACCAGCAATGGGTGTATATTTATTTTATTTATATGCATTTACTATTATGTCAGCCCATTGTGAGGATCTCGCGACCCCGCCAGCGTCAGGACCCCGATGGCAGCCTGCTGGAGAACCACGAGGTTCCAGAGAGGCTCCAAGGCTTGGTTCCCACGATGCCTGGGGAGAACGCTGAGGGTAACATCGTCCCTGGTTCCTTCAAGTGCCTAGGTACAACACACATGTACCGTTGCACCTGCATGTAATGCCTAAGATGTTGATCAACAGGCTGCTGGCTTTACTTTACATTGATGTCTCATGCGGCGCTAAGGATTGTGTTCCCAACGTTGCAGCAGAATACGAGCATTCTGCAGGTTCTACCCACTTGGATTGAGACTTTGGGGCGCAAGATTGATGCTGCCGAGTGTGAAAAGGCCTTCGGGTGGGCAGGACATATGACCAAAATCAGTCAGCTATATAGTATATGCATTAACCGTGAAAACTCGATCAACAAGGATCGATATATATATATATATACTCAACACGATCCAGGTTGCCTTGAGTTGACATATATCAAAAGCACCCTCGGCCGTGGTAGGAGAAGTTGCTGCAGAAGAAGAACCCGAGAGCAAATGTGTATCTAGACTGCAGCTACACACCTTACGCTCATGTATGACATGCAAGAATTGGAGGTCTTAGGTAGTGCCCCTGTTTGAAATCTCCAAGGACCGCCGACCAGATCACTGGTATCCTCAAACAGCTGAACGCTGGCTATGAGGACCTGACAAATTTGCAGGCCGAGGCTGCCGTCGGCAAGTTTTCGCCTTACCCCATGATGTTCAGTGCAGTGCGCAAAGACTGAATTGCCAATTTACCTAATTCCTTTTTGGCCGGTACTGTATAAGGTTGGATGAGGACAAGGTGAGGTCCAAAACAGTGGAGATCACGAAGTTGGATGTGGCTTTGAACAATGCCATCGTTCGCGCCAAGCTTCTTAGATAAACCCGGATTCCATATGTGCTGAAGTTCAACCGTGAATATGCTAGCCAGATCTTCCATGCGCCATGCGCCCAGGAACCTTAAAGCTGCCCCCGCTGTGGCCGGCCGTGCTTCTCCCGGATCAAAGCCTGCTGGCAAGGCCAAAGCTGCCGGCAAGGCCAAGGGAAAAGCAAAGGCACGATCCAACAAAAGGAAGGCTGCAAAAATTTCTTCATAGATTTGCGATCGTCTAGAAAGGATCGATCGGCCTAGGATCTTCTTGAATGGACAAACCACTGACCGTACCGTGACTGGGGTGTGTTGCGGTCTGGGTGCAATCTGTGAAAAGAATCTGTGCGTGTGCAATCTCTCACTGCAAAGTTTGGACAGTGAACTTACTTGTTTTTGAGTGTGGTGGGCACCATACTGCATCATCATGAGCGCAGGTGCCTTGCAACCAGGTGAAGAAGATCGAAACCAGGGTCTTGACCTTGGCCATTCTGCGAAACATGTACCCATGACCCACTCCCAAACACATGTCAAGGTGAAGAGGATGACGACGATAGATCATCTTCTACCCCTTCGGATCTGGTTGATGAGCTTTTTACAGGGTTTGAAGATGGTGCATCTTGCCTCAATTAAATTGGCAGGTGTATACATATCGAGGGTTGAGAGACCGTCAAAACCGCCTAGGCAGAATCTGCAAAACGTGTAGTTCGACTGGCTAGAGTGGCTTCAAAGAGAATGAAACACCTAGGTGCCTTGGATCAACCTATATGGTCATTACTCAGTGCACGCTGTACATGCGTGAGTCACACCCAAGTTCTCTCACCCGGCCAGGAGTCAAAGACCCTGAGTTGGAGAAGATTGCAAGGGCTGGTCCGACATCGAAACGCAAACAGTTCAGGAACATTTGTCGCAATTTTCATGCCAACCTGCTTAGAGATGGTCGGCAGCTGAAGGTCACTGTGTCTATGATCAAGGTTCGAGTGAAGGTTCACCGCCCAAAAGTTCGTACGATTGAAGCTGAGTACCCTTACATCTCCCTGCGGTCCTGGAGTACGTTTTTGCTTCAGCATCACCCGGCACACCTGCTGGGGGGGTTTGACTTCGAAGATTTCGATGGATATACCTCAATGTTCGACAGGTTTTGGACCCGGTATCGGCAATTGGACCCTACTCACGAGGCCTTCACCCAGTTCACGGATTCTGGTCATGTGATACCCTACATGGTACACGGTGATGAGGGCCGAGGCAAAAACAAGAGCCCGATATTGATTTGCAACTATCAACCATGCATCGGTGTACAAGGGGAGGAGTTCACCAACATGAAAGGGTACCTTAACTGCAACTGCGTGCAGCTTGTTCCACTGCACGGTATGTCAATCCAAACCTTGATGCGGCCTAGGCATTCCTTTTCAACGCGCTTCCTGTCATTCATGATGCCTTCCAAGCACTTTGCAGAGGATGACAAAACCCTGGACGACTATACCGCATACATCGTGGCAGATCTGAGTAGCCTTTTTTATGACGGCGTTGTCGCAGCTCACCTGAATAGTGGACTTGTATATGCACCTGTGGTTGCCTGTTTTTTTTAGTTGCTTTTGTGGGCGCCTCAAGTAGTCAGGTGAACGGCCAACGATTTCACTTGTGCTTCATCGGCTTGAAGGGTGATTGGCCCTTTTTGAGAAAGTTCATGCAGCTGCAAACAGGGTTCCGTTCATTGCGGGTTTGCCATTACTGTGAAAGGACGAGACATGGCTACAAGATCCGTTCTTTATGAAAGCGGGAAAGTAGTGAAGGTCTTTCGAATTCATATCACGACCCAAAAAATTCAACCCTTGTTCACGCTGAGAACTGGTGGCATGTGGGCTCCAACGGCTGCTTGCACGGATGGCAGCCTGGCAGAGCCAGTCCGCCTTGGAAAGCAAAGAGATCTTTGTTCATGAAGGTGCCGGGTGCTTCTTCAGAAGCACGAATCAGGACTGACCTTGCACATACTTGGCCAATAGGTGTGGCAAAGAGTTCGCAGCCAGTCCTTGTTGTCAATCTGCGATTTGAAGCTATGTCTGGTCGGGCGCTTGATGCACAGCTTGAGAACCTTTATGCTGATTTCAGAGAGTTCTGCCATAGAACTCACGAGACTTGCAAACTGACTGACTTCTCCAAGCGGACGCTTAAGATCCAATCGAGTCTTAGCATTAACACGTGAGTTTGAAAGAAGGCTCAAAGACTTGCATGCTGCAGTGGGCACGTTCACACATATGTTGGATACGTTGCTTGGAGCCCAGGAGGCGGCAGTATCCTGTTCTTTCCGGAATGGGACACGACTGCATCATTGTGCAGAAGTGGCTGTCAGACTTTTTGTCAAGAACCAATGTGGAAGATGTCGTTCCGTGGCTGAGTTGTTTTGTTCATGCAGCAGTGCACGTCTTCTTCCCGGTTAAGAGCATGCGTGAGCTAGGCTGTGGGAGACCGCAACATGTACGAGATCTTGCGCTACACCTGCGACTGCTGCAATGCATTCTTCAGGAGGCTGTATGAGTACGGCACTTGGATGCTAGCTTCTGAAGCAGCCATCCTGGTCCCCTTGGGATATGGAATGACTGCCCCTTGGCCGCAGCAATGTTTTTTTTCAAAGCATGAGGCTGTGGAACTTGTCAAGAGTGAATGGCGTGCTTTTGGCGAATGGTCTGAGGAGGGATATGCCGCGATGGCTCGCTTGGCAAATGATCGCTCATTCAAGTTATATCGAATGAAACCGAAGCTCCACATGTTGGATCACATCACGTGGCGTAACTGCAATAAGATCAGGTGAGATATTATATCGATAGCTGTTTTGTGTTTTGTCCAGTGCGCATTATCCTTAAACTTTCTGAGGCGGAAGATTGAGCTGGATGGGCAGTCTGGATCACCTTGGCTCCTCAATGACCTATGTGACTTGATTGCACTCTACGCGCAGGGCTAGCTAAGACTCGGTGCACCTTTGTTGGGCTGTTCTTCTCCTCCGTCGGATGTTTCCCTCCACGCATGGCACCAACCCTAGGCTTTAGTTGCCTGATGGACGAAGACTATGTGGGTCGCTGTGCGAGAATATCGCGCAGAACCCATTCCCTGAGCACTTGCTTGAGATCATTTGGTAGATCTCTCATGAAGTACAAACGCATCTTGAAGCGACGATGAGAAAAAACCAGGTCACCGGACCGCTTGGAGTTGAGGGCGACATCGGCAAAGCAGCTGATGTGTGAGTGCATGGTACAATGCTGTGCACGCAAGTGAGGTTTTATGGGGTTCCCAAAACACACCAAAAACCAAACGCGCAGAAATCACATACTCGAGCACATTTCAACCAATTCGTACCTCAAAAATCTCGTACCCAAAAAAAGAGCTACATTTGAAGGTCCTGGTATATATATACATTATTATTAGTATTGTATATTATTGTTATTGTTTATTTATTCATTCATGTTTGTCTAAATAACAGTCTTTGTGTTATAATCTTAGTTTAGCAATGATTCATTCCTTCACCATCCGTCTCTCTCTACGTCTCTTGGCTCCCGAAACCCGGCAGCCGAAGAAAAGAGAACCCGCCCGAGCGGCTGCCCGGCCCGAGCCGGCGATCCCGGGCGCAGGTTCGGCCGGACCGGAGGGTTCGGTGGAACATCTGAAAACCCACCAACAAGAAGGACTGGAGGTGGCTGATTCACATGGATTTGGAGTGAAACCCCCCACTGTTTGGAAAGGAAAGTAGACTGTTCATTCGGGGCCCAGAGAGTCCACCTTTCGTGTTAGAGTGCAGGATGGTGCATCCTGGGCACCCCTCTGACAGAAAACGCCCCCGAACCACCCCCCCCGAACGTGGTCCGTGGTTCCTTGAAACTGGGTAACTGGAGATTTGATGATCCGACTGGTGAAAAAATCATTCGTTCGCCTCACAAACGACTGGTCTGGTCGTTTCTGCCAAACCAGGAAGATGGACCTCCTCCACCAGCCAATGGCCAATCTTCTTGCGTGCAAGATTTGAGCATCCCCGAATCTTCAACAGGGAATGTCTCCAACTGGGGGGGGGCAGAGCTGTGGGCGTGCTTCGTCACATTCTTTCAAGCCAGGGTATGCCAGGGCTGGATAAGAAGCAACACACCTTTCCGCTCCTCATTACATTTACCATCACATGTGGTGATCCGACCGGCTGTATGTGTCCCAGGTCACCGTTGGCGCTATGGCTCAGGCGGAATCCGATGGATGGCAGGCGGGGGAAATCCGTCCCATGGACGTCGCAAGGAGTTCAGATCTTCTGGCCAACGGACCCCAACACCAAAGATCCCTGAGATCGGACATCAACACAGGCGACCTCCTTTCGCCACACCAAACCCGTTTTTCTTCTTCGAATCGATCTCCGAGTTCCATGCCGAAGCCATCGACTGGAGGTACCCACTCCGTTGGAGGTTTCGATGGCCTCGATGGTGCCTACAGCATCGGATCCTTCAGACAGGCGGCTTGCCGCACGAGCCGCGAGCGGTGCCGGTTCGCGACAAGGGGGAGCTGCAAACCCTCGAAGTGGAGCTGGTGGTGTTTGGGATCCTGGCTGGTGTTGGCACCAACCAGGAAACACCGAACTTGGACTGTCCAGGTATGAAGGCTTGAACTACTCAGGCGTCACCAAAAGAACTGATTGCTTTCCCCCATCTCGGGCTCCTGGCGTCGGCAGCAGGACCCTCCCGGTAGACGAGGAGTCCGCCCGGCCAGAGCTGCAGGCAGAGCGGGACAGGAGAGTGATCGGTCCATGATTGTATCGAGACCAGAAAAACCCATTGTACATCGATGTTGGTTGGTTGTTAAGTGCATGCTCTTGGGCAAAGTCTCCCTGGCGTGTTGACACGCATGTCCTTTTGCCATAATCCCTTGCTTCTTCTTGACAACAGCACTGGGCAAGATGTGGTCCCGAGGGAGCAGAGAAGTTGATCCGAACACGGAGGGGAATCAGAAGAAGCCCAAGGAAACGTTGACTTCAAAAGCCCTGTGTTTCACACTTCAGGCTCCAAAGGCTTGGTGGAAGGTGAAGGTGGGTCGAGCTTGAGCTCCCATCCGGATATGAAGGTGTCCATGTAGAGAGTTTCCAGATTGTGTATCCAAGGACTTCATCTTCATTCCTATCTCTTTTGTGGGTAACTCATGAAGCCTCCGCACATTTGGAGATGTAGAACTGTTTCTGGTAGGTGGTGTTGTGGTGTTTGGTCCAGAAAACACCGTCTAGATATGTCTACATGACTTCGCAGAGGGGACGATCCTGGGAGATCCAGCGGTACTGAACTAGGGAGATCGACCCCGGGCGGTGGCAACGACTCCCTAGAAGGTTCGGGACATCGACTGGTCTCCTTTGTAGAAGAAAGGACAAGGAACTGTCCCCTTGTAGATCAACACACCACCAAACGCATCCTACCTATGAAGGCCGAACCTTTCGGAGGAGCCGTCCGAACCCGCTGACAGACCCACTCACACCAAAAACGCGCCAGAGACAGAGCACTTGCCCAGGGCGTGCGGTTCCGCTTGCCGGAGCAGGGGCTGCTTGGATGAAAGGCACTGAAGAGTGGCATGCTGCTGGGCAGACGAGCCTGTGGATTCTTGGACCTGGAGTCCTCAAGCACATGTTTTCGTACGAAGAATGTTTCAAGGTGAGGCTTGTGCTGGTGTTGCCACGGCCCCGGCCCTGGCCGGTTCCATTGCGGGGTGAGCCTAGACCAAAAGAGTACCTGGGACACCTGCCCCCAAAACCATACTAGGTATGGTGGGTTTGTTTTTCACGTCACATCTTTTCTCGGCCCGAGGTCCAGTGAAATGAGCGATTGGCCCCACTGGCGATTTGGTCGGTTTTTGGGCGTGTCGATGTCGCGAGTGCTGCCCAGCGTTTTTGGCGGGCGGTTGGAGGCGCTTGGAGGCGTTGGGCAGGCATGAAGATTGGCAAGTGGGAGAATGCACTCAGTTTGGATCGTTGAAGAGTTGAGGATGTCAGGATGTCCCAACAATTTCCAAGCATTCCCTGGGCAAATTGGATTGCGAAGCTGAGTCTTCTGTTGAAGGTCACAACCACGAAGGGCTTGAGAGTCTTTCTCGCCAGGATCAAGGATGCGTGGTCATCTTCCGACAACAGGCAGGGGTAGCTCCACTGTCGAAACCTCCCCCGCCTCGCACCCTGCCCTTCTGCCTCACAAACAGCTGTTACACGGAGTCTTTTCAGCTCTCGGCCAGACCAAGCAACCTCGACCTATTCTTGTCTCATGTGGTCCCCTCCACTTTACATCACTCACGTTCCGCCTCGAAAGGGTTTCATCCCCCCAAAGGAAGCACGTGGACGTAACACCGGTCCTCGACCACCCCCCGGCCGAAAGTCGCGCAGCTGTCGGGCAGAATTCAACGGCCCGGCCTACCTGGGGCCGTTCCAGGTCGCTGTGGCGCTATCCCAGCAAGCCTGGCAGTCCGTGGCCCTGGGTGGGTTGTCGTCCCAGGTGATTTTTCTCCCGAAGTGAGAGCATGTAGATGATTTTAGATGCATTAAGTATTTCTTGCGATTGAAAAGGAGTGGTTGGACATGCTTGGCTTGGGGTGCGTTTTCTTTCCTATATTATGTCCCATGATGTTGTGGTATGTTGTGATTGCGTGGTATGTCCCAGTGGTTGGCTGTGGGGACGCACCAGCGAGCGTTCGCTCTGCCGAAGCTTTCGCCTCCAAGTGGTCGCCCCATCCTGATCGCCCCGAACCTCTCCCGGGCCGTCATCGTCCGTGGAGGACGAACCACGATGGGTGAGGATGTGGAAGAGGTGGGCGAGGAGCTGGAATCACTCTGGACCAGCATTGACTTTGGGCATATCGAAGCGGTGACACATGACACTGAGGAGACAAGCGTTGAGTTCGAAGTCTACCTCATAGAAGATGCATCTGTCCCTGCCCTGTTTGTGGATGTTGATTCAAAGGTTCGTGATTCTGCAGTAGCAGATGCCAAGACCGTGGTGGTGCACCACGGTCTCTCTGGCAATAGCACCGAGCTTCAGATCGCTCCTCCATACCGGGTGAAATCCATCAAAGAAAGGCTCGAGGCCAAGCTGGGCATCCCAGCCTTCTTGCAGCGAATACTTCTTGAAGAGACGGAGCTGGAAGAGGAGGACGCCTTGGACTCTCTGGAGGAACCTGCGGTACATGCTGACGAGTCACCATCTTGCTTTCGAGTCACCATGCTTCGTAGAGGCCCTCCTCGTATAACGACGAACGAATTTTTGACATCGGTGTTCTTGCGTGTGCATAATTGGAAGGGAACCATTGTGGAACGTTGGCATCAATTTGACACCTACCGCCAGCTTCCATCCACGAAGTGTGAACTCTTTGAATGGGCAGAGGGCTTCGAAAACATGAGCCACGAACCCTTCACTGTGGAGGGTTGCTTAAAATCATTCGGTTTGTGGCTGAACACTGATGACAAAGAAGGACATCCGGAGGCTTTTGCTCAAGATATCTCTCGCTTGTACAGCTTTCTGGAAGAACACTGCTACAGCCCCTCTTGGATACAAGTATATGATCAACCTTATGGTCACGATGATAACCTCGAAATGGTGATGTTCCTTGCTGGTCGTTTGAAGCTGGCCCCTCAAACTTTGATGATTGGAGCTGTCCATCTGAAGTGCTGGGGTTGAAGATGCCCACACAGATGTGAGCATGAGCCAATCAAGAAAAGGCAGCGGTACGTGCTTGGTCTTTGCGCTGGACTATCTATCTATCTATCTATCTATCTATCTATCTATCTATCTATCTATCTCTCTCTCTCTATATATACATATCCTCTACTAAGGAACGTCCTTTTCCCCTTGCTAGATTATTTTGAACATCATATCAACAAAAGTGTGTATACGTACACACATGTGTCTGATCGTTTTCTGTCTGCGTGGATGGGTGGAGCACCAGTTTCGTTTATTTTTTTTCCCCTAGACATCTGGAGGCCTCTGACCCACCTGTCCATATATGTCCTTGGGGGGTCCCATTGCCTGTAATAGTTGGTAAACAATGATCAATGATCACTATACCTACATATATCATGATATATAATAATTATAGTGTATTTTGTTGGAGAAAGGCCTTACTATCATCATCCACTGTTACAGGGATTAGGATATGTATACCATGTAATATACCCTTCTCCTGTCCTCCATCATAGGCAGGAAGTGGGCGGTGGCCACCATTCTGAGGCATGCCAGAGTACTTGTGCAGGCAGAACGCGGTGCTGGGACACCGCCGGTCACCGCGGAGACGGGGTCAAGCGGACGAAAGGTCAGGGCTTCACAAAGGGGTTTGGATATCAACTCCGCGAGTACGATGGACATGGGTCTCAAGAGTGTTTGGACATCTCTCCCAAAAACTTTGCCTCCGTGATGTTTGTCTGACATCACATGGACCTGGTCTTCCCCACCTGTTGCTTCGTCCAGCACCGAGCCGGTCCCATGGGCCCGAGCCGGTCCCACGGGCCCACTGGCGGGCCCCAGGGCCTTTCGCATCAAGACCTTCAGTCTCATGACTCTTCAGCTGGCAGTGGTCTTCAGCCTCATGGTTTGGGGACCTAGGAGGTCATCGCTAGTAGGTTGGGGACCTAGACTATGATCTTTTTCTCATCAAAAGGCACCCCAAAAGCGGCGCACCCAAAGATTTGGGGTTGGAACTGGGTTCATGGGTTCTCCGGCTGGAGGATATTGTCTTTTTGGTTGGGTAGTATGGGCCTGGCACATCTCCTGCTCCGCCACCGATGATGGGATACACATGAACAATCGCAGAAATGAGCATGAGCTTTCATTCAAGGGGCTCAAGACTTTGACATTTCCAGAAACGCCGACCCCTGCATGGACAATTTCATTACACTATAGACTGTATACGTGATTCTTATATCCACGGAGAGATTCGGTCCCTCATATTCATGTTTTTCTCTCGAAACCTGTGAGCGTTCTTCCGTTCTAAACCGACCTCTGACGCCTCACAGACGGATTCCAACCACCGGCCACGTGAATCTTTTGTCGCGTACTGACAATACCCATCACCAGTGCTTGAACCACCACTCTGTCAGTAATCTCGACTTCTTGTTTCCCCAAATGACGTACGTCCAGGACCTAGACCTAGTAAATGATGCGACCCGTCCGTGCGACGGCTTCCTCAGGTGACCGTGGACCACTACCAAATATGGAGCAACGTCTTGAGCGACCCTCGGCAAGTTGAAGGGGTACTTGCGATGTTCTCCAACCTAACAGCAATGGCCTCCAACCACCTCCTGAGAAGATGGTTGGGGTGGGTTTTGGGGGTCTAACCGTCTAACCACCTTCTGAGGATATGGTTGGAGCTCTAGGGAATAGCAATGGCCTCCAACCTGCCAGGGGTTGTTCCAAAAAGGCCCTTCCCATCGGACCGCCGCGACCAGTTCGGGGAGGCTTCAACTGATCCTGACAGCCTCCGTCGACTCCATCTACTCCATCCCAAAAACCTGGGTGTGATGCAGTGTGATGGCTGGGTGTTCTTCTCATGACTGGAGTGCTGGTGAAATCCACGTGAGACGAAGCCGTGAGACCAGACCAGTGAGACCAATCCATTGAGACTGGTGGGTTTTCACGGCAAACAGGACCAGTTATATAGGGTGGAACAAACACACCATCGTTTTGGGCTTCAACCCCATGGTGTCCTGCCACTCTTCCAACCCCATTTTGGGCTCAAAATCCAGCCACGAGCCGACGGACCGCACCCGGTAGTTGAGCAAGAGCCAGGTGCTCCCCACCAGGGCCGTGGTGCCCTGGTGCCCTGTATTGATTTACACTCCCGAAAACTCACATGGACCCCTGAGAATGGGACCCGGATTCCACTGTTTTCCTCTAGCTGCACCAGTGGTTTTCAGGGTCCATGTTCGTTTTCCAGGGGGTATGTGGATTTGATGGTGGCCCCTCTTCCAGGGTGCGGAATTGTGCTCCAATTGAGGTTGGCCACTTGGATCACTGAAAAATCCAGGAGGGAAAACCGGGCGACTCCCCGCAGCGAGAGCTGCTGGTTTTGTCACACCAAAAGAGTAGACCACCCTGTGGGTGCCCAGCTGAAGAGGATCGACCTTGCCTTTGAAGCTTCACCCACTAAAGAAGAGAACGGTTGAGAGCGGAGTCCTGGCGTTTGGACATGGAGCGTGGGCTGGCCCAAGGTTCCTCCTCCCGGGTCCGTTGGGTTCTGCACAACGGTCATTTCCGCGCGGCTTTCCCAAGGAAATGCAAAAGGGCCATTTCCAGGATGTTGGGCAGGAGGCGCGATTGTATGTGCTTTGTGACCTTCCGGGCCGGGCTGATGTGCTCGTGCCCACACACACTCCAACGAACTGGGTTTGTGCGCGACACCTGAAACGACCACAGCAGCGACACCTGAAACGACCACAGCAGCAACTCTTCCACACACCGGTACCGGGATGCCGTTCTTCGCTTGCGACGCGTGGTGCCACACCTTCGCCCCACCACGTGGCCGGGGTTCTGACGTCATGGGCACCTGGAGCGGAAGAGCCTGGTATCGGTGGAGGACCCTGAGGTATCCTGAGGTCATCTGTTCGTCTTGTGTCATTGCTTCTCATTTTTTGGGACCCCAAAAGCCACCCGGACTCGGTTTTTTCTGCGGTGCTTTCCCACCGAACGGTGCCTTTAGCACCCAAAGGGATCACTCCGAACGGTGCTTTTGGACTCGACCGGACACCGGAGGTGATCTTTTACAGCGCCGGTTTCGCGACGCTCCTGTGCATCATGGCCACCCGGCGCCGAAAGCGCCGATGCGGAGGGTTTCCGGGTTCCGGGTTGAACGTTTTCTAGAGACATCCACGGGTCACAGGACCTAGGACCGCGGTCACAGACCTCGAATAGCTTGAAAGTTAAAAAAAATGCAGGTCACAGGACATGCAAAGATCTTGGTATTAGAATGAATTAGAGTTCTTAGTGCACGTGTTCCATTTGGGATGTCTCAAGATGCAGCTTCAGCGGGAGCTGATGAGAGGGACCGCGTGTGTCTCAGATGAGAGGGACCTGGGAAAGGTCAAGCGGGCCCTCCGGGAGTGGAAATTGGGCAGATTCGTTTCCGGGAAATAATCTAAATATAATATAATATAATGATTCATATATTTGTCATCCGATTTCATTCTCCAAATTAAGACTATAAAGAGATCATTCATTGTTGTTAGATATTTAATGATATTTGTCATTTTGTTTTGACAAAAACATGTTCTTTTTCATATTCAAAGATAGTCAGCGATTGTTTTATAATGGTTGTTAAAGTTAGATATTTAGGAGCAAGGACGCTACGAACGGGGCCCCTGCCCGAAACAACGAACGGAACACGCTTCGCTACGTTCGGGGCTCCGAACCCGGCAGGATCGGTCGGGAGGGTCTTCCGAGAGGCGAGAGTCACTCGGGACTCCCATGGATTCTGTTGAAAGCATGGGATTCTTTTCTTTTTTCTTATCATTCGGTGGTCGTTTTGTATTATATATATAGATCATTCAGTTGTATGATATGCTGTATATCACGGTATACTTATATAATGTGTCTTTTTGTTTCTTTAAACGTCTCTTTAGAACGATAGGGAATCTTTCTGCAGACCATGCTGTCGTTCCCCAAGAATGACCCCAGACCCGGTCTTCCCGCGTGTCGTCCGAACCACCGAGGCGATGTTTTGTCTCAAGGAGCGCTTTCCGCTGAACTACTGGCGCTTCGGTGGAACGACGGGCGCTTGGGTGGCGAGTCGGTGGAGTATAGAGAGGAGAATGGGAGGAGAATGGGAGGAGGATGGGGTGCCTGGCATGAAGTAATGAGTAGGGAGCAGAGGTGAGGTATCGAAGAAATGGAAGACTTGTGTTTCAGGGGAGTGCGAAAGGGAATGGGAATGGATGGGTGGAAGTGTGGTGGTTCTTTTGCCCCGAGCAGACATTGAAACGCAGATTTGGGCTGAGGGTCCTGTAAGAACTTGGTCCCAAGTTCTTCATCTCAAGAAAGCTCCAGCTGGTCATTCTTCATTCCCAACGTCCTTCCTTCCTGCCTTCCTTCCTTCAAGTGTCAATACCTTCTTTTCCTTCGGCGCCTGCGCGCTCCGTCGTCGCTTTCAACTCCCCAAGGCTCATGGCGGTGACCACGGTGATGTCCGGGATGTTCTGGGGCATGACACGGGCAGTGGTTCAGACCACGATGCACTTCCAGCCGCTTGGGCAGATGAAGCGCATCGGGTCATGGGAACAAAGCAGCCGGATGTGGCCACCTGTGTGGAGGGAGATACCATCTTCGGGGCATTTCAAAGGATGTATATGTTGATGTCCCAGCGGCATTTCAAGACAACCAAGCTGCCATTCTTTGTACGTATAGTTTAAACTGCATTGGTAAGTGATGATTCTTCTGAGCATTTCTCCAGAAGGAGGTATGTTGATCAACAGCAACAAGTTCCATGGATGACATGTTCTGAACATGCAGCATTTTCCACATGCATCATAAGATGATATAAGATGCATATCCACACAGGTGTCCAGAAACCACACGTTAGTGAGACAGGTGTCCTGGATTTTTTTCATAGCTCCTGGATGCTCCTGGTCATCTCCGATGTCACCACCCCTCCGGAGGATCGTGGCGATCCTCTTCTGCTCGATGTTGGGAGCGACAGCCTCTCGGTGCGGCGAACTGGGTCTCGGTGCGGCGGAGGTGGGGGGGTCTGGTGAGACCAGAGACAGACATCCAGAGCAACAGGACCAGCACTGCAGCAAAAGCGGAAGGAGGACACGCGTTCCGGGACACCCTACCCGTTCGGTGTCGCGATAGCTGGTTTTTGGAGCTGTTCGGCCCATGCATTTTCTTCCTCTTCCGAACTTCAACTACTCCGCAAGCTCCAAGGCTCAGCACGAGAGAGCCGGTCGACCAATCGTGGCCGGTGACGAAGGGCGACGAAGTTCGGAGGTTTGGGTCTGACCGGATGCCCCTCGCTCCATCAGCTTCTTCTCCACGCGTTTTGGCCCGACCAATCGGAGAAACGATCGCCGACGCCGTTGTCGGCCGGAACATCGCCCAGGTGGCTTCCCAGGTCTTACAGAAGCAGCGGGGTCCAAAGCTTTTGATCCTCAGCTGCTTGGCGAAGTGATGGGAAGTGCTGGGAGTCCAGGTTGGCGGAGGGGTTGGGGGGCGGCCAGTCCGGGTGGAAGAGCCGGGTGAGGTTGAGAGCAGGTTTGGTGTCCATCCATCCCTGATCACCTGGAGGAATTGATGACTTACTATTCTCACTATAAAGAATGAGTTAATATCGATTTATAACGGTTTATTTGAAGGGCACGACAAAATCTGATGCAAACAACACATGCCACTCATGTAAGAGCCAAGGGCCAAGGGACTCTATTGAGCGGCACACCCCAGCTCCACCAGACTGAACCGGCAGAACAGGCCTTTCCCCCAAACATTCAAAAACTCAAGCCGCGTTTGACGACCACTTGACCACTCGAAAGCAGGTTCAGTGGCCCGTCCGATGTTCGATGAAAAAAACAGGCCAGCTGCTTGCAACGGGTTACCAATAATGGACAACCCTACCCCACATATATAGATCTCCAGACAGGGCACCCATTTGAAGTGCTAGGCACCTTTTTGGTCTTCGTCTTTTGACGGGAGGGAGGACACTCCCCTGGTCTCACTCTCATCATCTCTCATCGATCGTTTGGAGCAGGATGGACTACGTCCACCATGATCCACCCGTGCGTCGACCGTTTGATTGGTTCTTGGAGAAGAAAACACGGACATGTCCCTATCTTCAGATCTTTTCATGATCTGTCATGACTATGTCATGAGTATTTCCCTCTCTTCAAGAATACTTACATCATACATCCCTATCTTAGGACCCCGACTCCCGCCACCGACCTCACCTCCCGGAACCTCGCTCAGAGCGAGGCTTAGCGCCTGGGTGGGCGCTGGGTGCTTCCTGCAACGTGCCGAGCCGAGCCGCGGGTCGTGGCGGCCACGGTGGAGAAGCGATGGGAACCGGCGTGCAGGGGGGAACCGTTTCAACGCTCCAAGCTGGTAAACCGCACCCAGGAACCATGTGATGAAACCAAGTGGCTTTGATTCAGAGGCAAAGCTTCATAACCACCTGATTTTTCAGTCTGATAGAGAATCCTGCTGACATCTGCTACAGGTGCTCGTGAGCCGTCTCCTACTCAGAGAGCTGGATCGCGTCATTTTGGGCTCGACAGGACCTGCTCATCCTTTCTTCCCACAATCACATTATTTTCTTGCCAGGAGCACGGAGTTCGGGTGGTGGTTTATGGACACCCCTTTTCCTATGTATTTCCCATCCAATCACCACCCCACCACCGTGGTCCTGGTGCTGATGTCTTGCTTTGGTGTTGAACTTTTGCTTCTGCTACGAGCCGTTCATGTGGCCGGTGGGGACAGGGATTTCACCAGAGACCAAGACCTAACGGAGCTCGAGCGGAGCTCGAGCGGAGCTCGACCGAGCGCGTCTTCGCGAAGTCGCGAATGCGCCACCAGGACTCTCCATGTTGCTGCTTTGCATCTTTTCGATGGATTCAGGCCTGGGTCATTGAAGGTCCTACACCACCGGGTGGGATGGTAGAAAAAGGGAGAAAAGGAACAGCTGGGTGGTCTGCGCAAACGTCATTTTCGCTCGAAGCCGGGTGTTGTGACCGAGATGAAACACTTGACGACTTTGGGGCACCAGTTCTGTTGTTTCGATCTGGATCGCATCCATGAGTTGCCATGCCTCACTCTCTTGGGGAATAGAAGGAACAGTTTCCTGACCAGCCCTTGGTGGATATTCAGTTGAAAAGATGCCCGCGAGCCAGGCAGGTACCTGCTCCATTGCAAGCCGGATGATTTCATGTCACTTGGCCGCACTGAAGCGTGCCCCCCAGAGAGGTGGTTTGGAGCTAGACGCCTCAATGGGGTCAATGGAGCAGATGAAGTCGCCCTTCATTTCCTCCTCCTCCTCCTCATCACCACCATCATCACCACCATCATCATCATCATCATCATCATCGTCATCATCATCGTCATCGTCATCGTCATCGTGATCGAGTCCTCCTCCTCCTCCTCCTCCTAATTCTCCACCTTTGAAGGGAATATCACGGACAGTTTGGGGTCCAGCATTTTTATGGATTAAGAGGCCGATGAGGAATGTGATGGACTCGCCCCGTGCTTTGGTCTGAGGAAAGTGGTGGTTTCGATGGACTCCACCCTCATGGTGGTCGCCAGGGGCTCCAAGCAGTTCTGGATGGAAAAGTGGAACAGTTGGAGTGCTTGGTTTCTAAAAACGGGGATGAACTCTGTTTCTTGGAGTGAGCACATTTAGCACCAGCACTTTGCCAAGGTTTCTACACAAGATCCTTTGGTGTCCTTTCAGGTTTTCCGGATTGCAGGCAGCCCTCCTCCCCTGTCAGGTGAGCATCCCCTTCTTCGTGCTCTCCTTCTGCTTCATCCACACGGGAGAGGTTCCCTTTTTCATCCTTTCGTGAGGCAGTTCCACTAGTTGATCCTCTGCATTTTTTCCAAGTGATTAATGATGTTTAAGCTCATATTATATTCCAGCCAATTGGACCCATTGGAAAATGGTCCAGCCAATTGGATCAGTCTCGCGGGCAAAGAAGAGAAGGACCGAGAGAGAAGCAATCGAACCATCGAGAGAGAAGCAGTCGGACCCTCCGCGTGAGTGGACTCGCGCGAACCCTTTGCGTCACGGTTGGAAGACTCGGGGCTCCGGGCTCCGTTTGAGGTGAAAAAGAGATGAGTCATATGGTTCTTCTAGGTCCTCGCGAAGAGTTTTTGAGTGAATGAGCTCTTAGTCTTCACTTAATTCTTCGACCTACACAACAACTAGAGGTTTCTTTAAACTACCGAGTCCCAGAGCTCCAGTTCTCCAGAGCAGGCCGTGATCGAGGATGAGCAGGAACAAGAGGTGCCCAGGGAGCTGGATCTGTCCATTCCTTTCCACAGATCTGTCAGTCATGGCACCAGCAATCGAAAGGCCATGACCCTCCGACCCTCCGACCTTTCGTTTGTTCCCCGCCGGAAAGGTCTGGTCGAAACTATCAGGACTGGTCGAGCTCCGTTGAGCCATCCCCCATTTGTTTGGAAGAACCACAATAGCCACTGTTGTTCTGAAAAACATCCCAGGCAAATGCCACGACTTGAAGGCACCTCTCCCGCGCTGGACATACCCCCCAGCGGTGAGGTAGTCGCTTCGAGCGGAGGGTTGTCGTGCGGCGGCAGGTGGCACAGGTGGTACGGGAGGATCGCCGGGAGCAGGTGCAGGAGCCATTTGGGAGCAGATGGCACAGCCGTGCGAGCTTGGAAAGCTGGATTGGTTTTTCGATGGAAGGTTTGCCCCCAAAAATGGGGGGAGCTTAGCTTCTTCCAAATGTGCTTGGGACCAAGACTAGGAGATGAACCGTCCACCGTTGCGCATGGCTGCAGGAGCAGCCCGCTCCGCGGGCCGTGGGCAACGAAGAGGCCGTTGGATGCGCTTGGCAAACGTGGTGAGTTAGCCGTGACGTGAACCACCCACAGCTGAATGGTTCTCTAGATTTCGAAACTTTTTCAGGGTAGAAGAATGGGGGGTCCTTCGGTGTTGAAGCCTTTTGAAGGGGTGTCGATGGTGAGGATAGAAGCTTCGTCAACATCTTAATTTTCGACCAGGGAGCAGCTTAATCACTGCTGCCCCACCATGATCTCCCATCATCTCAGGCGGCATGGCCTCCCATTCCACGTGCGCAGGCGAGCCCCGGGCTGCGTCGACCCTTGTTTTGGTCTCTGGTGAAGGGAGGGTTCATGAAACATGCGCTGTGTTGGTCGTGTGGATGAAGTCATAGAGACCGTACTATCCTATATACTACACATAGCATCCTATAGCGCTTCAATGGGTGCCAGGCGAATCCGACAGAAAGCCGCAGTTTTATGACCCTTGTTCAGAGATCTCCATATATATATATATTATATAGATCCATTATAGTCTACAGTATACCTCTATGCCAAGTACTTGTTTGGTTGATCCCATGATCTTTCCAATATGTTCAACCTTTGGACCTCCGAAAAAATGAAGGCACCTGGTCCTGCCTGGTTCCCATGTCGACCCTGGGCCCCCGTCGGACGCCCCTGGGCCCCGGCAGGATCCGGAGGATCTCATCGCCTACCGCGTTTGATGCGCAGATGGGCGGCAGAGGGGTGGAAGAAGTGGCCTCCAGATAGAGGGGCTCATCTTGAAGTGGTGATTCTTTTGGAAAAGACCGGGGATCCTTTTTAAACACCTTTTTGCCTTGTTTATGTTTCCCTCTCATGACTTTGGGATTCTGGTTGTTCCCTGATTGGTCAAGGTTGGTCACTACTATTTCGACTATTTCTTTCAATCTTTCTCATGTGACAAGGGCTAGGTGGAGTTTGATTTCTGCATGGTGTGAGTGGTATCAGGGTTCCGACATGTTCCGACCAACTTCGACATCAGCTGAGGATGGCGGGTGGGGAGGCCATGCAAGCCGGGTGTCATCCGGCTTTGCGACTGATTCGCCTGGCTGATTCGTGCTTCTGGGGGAGGGTATGATATGGTATCCACATGGTAGGACCAGTCCAGTTGGAGGAACAACTCGCAAAGGGTCCAGCTGGTCCCATAAACCAAACACTTGGTTTCTTCAACCTCCAGAAGTTTCTGTAATACCTAAGGACCAAAGGACTTTGTTCTTCCAACAAATGAATATAAATGAATGATCTGTTTGGCCGTTGACTCCTGGACTGTCACAACCTTTTTCCAAGGCAAGTCTTGGTGAGGGACCGGTCATGTTTTTTGTTTTTCTGCCTGCAGGATTGAACAAAAGAAATGGGACAAACAATCAACCCAAGTATCACCCCCAACAACTCCTACTGGGTACTGGGTGGTGTACTATTGCTTGTACATAGTTGGGAATGGCTTCTGTTTTTGGCTTGTCCTTATAGAGAGGGTTTCAGGATCATGCTCCGGTCATTGGTTGGTGGACTACGCAATTGGCATTCATCCCCTCCCTGAGAAGCACCTGCCAGGCCAGGAATTTATGTGGTCTGGTTAACAAGCACCAGGCTGCCAGACCATTCGCACCACATGAAGGCGTACCCATGCCAATCATCGTGTGGCAGAGCTCCAATCCTGAGAGAAACCGAACTGCCCAAGGCATGTAGTGGCTGGAAGAACGTCTTTTCTTTTTCTTGGGGGGGAGGAGTTGGTAGTAGTGCGGTTTTCTTGCACCTTGCGGCTTTTGTTTGGAGTGGTCAACATGTATTGAGGAGGCTGATCAGCAGGTAGATAGATTGTATGTAGATCATCTCAAAAATTACAACTACCGGCCGAGTGCTTTCGGAGCACAATTGAACATGTATGTGATTTGGTCTTCAAATTGATTGACGGGGGAACAAACCCGAAACAAAGATATTGCAGGTCCACCATACTTTGCGCTCGAGGATGCTCAGACACCGGGTGATGGATACGTTACGTTTATGCGGGAGCGACATCCGTGGCCACGTGCCATGTGTTTAGACGGCCACGATTTCGTAGCGGCCAAGCGCCTGGACAGCGAGCGGTCGAGTTGGTGACGCTTGGGCAGATCGAGCTGTTCACAAACTTCCCAACAGAGGCTGAAGCACCCGACTGCTCGATCCCATAGGTACCCCAGCTTTTCCGGGTCCTAATTCAGGTCACTGGCTACCTCTCTTAGAAGGGCAACGGACATCACAAGAGCCGATGCTTCGGAACCCCGCAATGTGTTTGAGTCGAGAAGGCTTCGGAACCGCTCTGCTGTCACCAACCGAAACCGACATGTGCATTTTCAAGGCTGTGGAGGATAATTCGTTTGATCACAACGACTGTGGTTAGTGGAAAAGCAACCAATGTGGACCTTGTAGGCAGTTGACTAATTGGTGCTGATTTCTCCACTGATTTGCGGTCTTTAACAGACTCGATACTCTGCTTGCAAGTGACTTCCTATTATCTTGAAGCACCAACACGATTTCAACTTCTTCATGTTATTTTCAGGAGAAAAATCGGAGTGCAAGGTTCACAGGTTCCATGGGGGTCTGGGGCCATGGGCTTTTCTTCAGTTCTTTTTCTACATGGTGCCGTCCACAAGACCCACTGAGCGTGGCCCACCTGCTTTTTCGTTCCACAGAGCGTGGCTCGCGACGCCTGAAAAGCGCCGGTGCCACGATGTATTGCGAAGCACAATTGGAGGCGCTGCCGGTCTCGCAAGTGTGGTATCGTTGGTCCAATGCACGTGGTGACCAAGGATCCGGCGAACCGTGCCGATCCCACATGTTAGGATCTTTTCTTCAGCACGAAGCACCCACCCGGCGGGCGGAAGAGCTCGGCGTTTCGAAGCATGATACCGGTTGGAGCCCCCATTCGTAGCGTCCGATCGCTCCGTTCGGTTCGCGCGGCCGGTGTTTCGTTGGGTCCTTGGTCGGGGAAAGCCGAGCAGCCGGAGTTCTCGGCCCCGTGCGTTCTTCCGCGTTCTGTCGGCCCCATGTGCCGGACGAGCTCGGCGGAAGAGCTCGAGCTCAGTGGAGAGATTTCGGCGGAGAGTTCGTGTTCAGAGCCATTGGTGAAAGGAGGTTCGATGCAGGTTCCAAGATGGAGCTCGGAACGCCTGGAGGTGGAAGGCCTTGCCATTCCGCGTCCACCATTTCAGACCCGGAGAACGGTAGCTGCTAGCTTCTTGTTTCTAGTAGCGATGGCCTCCACCTAGTAGCTTCTAGACCTGTGGTCCCCACATCAATCTCCCCAGGACTCAGGACTGGCAGAAACGGATCCAGTTGACGTCTCCTTTCAGTCAAACTCTTTGGCTCGTTTCTTTCCGCGGTGTGACATAGATCGGCATGTTCGGACAAAGCGTGGACATGATGGGGATGGATGGACGCTGCAATATCCCTCAAAGCCGGTGGCGAATGGTTTGGTGAAGAAGGTCGATTGACACACCCAATTTGATCTTCATCATCTGAGCTGGATAGTTCTCGTGCAAAACATCCCAGTCTGACATGTGTGCTTCCCCAGATGCATTTGCGGGAAACAGTGTCTTGCTGAATGTGGGAGATGATTTGAACCTGTAGATCAGCCACCCATGACATCCTCAGTGCCAATTGAAGGTCTGTATTTGAAGGTCCCGAAAAGCAGGAAGACGGATGGAATCGATCCACGGTCGACCATTTGCTCCTTGGGACCCATAGATTCCATAGATCGTTTCTCGCGGACGCAAAGGATGTGGCTTTTCCATCCCCATCAGCAGTAGTCGGGCCAGAGGACTTCGCCGCAGAATGCATGGCGCGCCCTTGGAGCACAATCGCTGAGTTGTACAGGGCAGGCTCGAAGATGCGGAAGATCTCCAAAACGGAGTCACTGGAAAGTTCAGCTAGAAACCACCAGATAATCTCCAAACATTGGAATTGATCAATCGAACACCCAAATGAAGAAGCAACACTTTTGAATGATGCAACACGTATTGAAACATGGTTCCCTCTCTTCTTGCCATGTCGGACATCAACCTCCGAGCCGATCTGAATTCTATTTCAAAGGACCCTTGACATCCAGGACACCTGGTCCCAATCTTTAGGAGGAGTACTTCGGGTCTATCCCAGCAAGCCTGTGACAGTCAGTAAACAATTATCACTTTATTTGAACAAGGCCTTCACTAATCATATCTAATCATCATCATCATCATCATCATCATCATCATCATCATCATCCACTGTTACTGGTAACAGGATATATAGACCCAAGGAATACGCTGTATGAATCGTGTGTTGCAAGCCATTTGCACGCCACTTGTTGTCATTTTCTCAATGATGGGACCTCCAAATCAACAGGTGATGTGTTCACATGTGTTCAACTTTCCCATAGCCATCCTAGTCTACATAGCATCATCATCCCAACAATTGGTGACAACCCGTTATGGGGAGTCACTATCCATAGAGTATGGAGTTATGAAATGGCCACTGAAGCACCAAGTAGCTTCCCAGCACATCCACAACTACCTTGGATGCCTTCAACTGATTCGAGCCTGCCAGTAGAGTGCTCCAGGTGGAAAGCTACACACCGATTCGAGTGCGATTCATCTGGCCAAAAACCGCGCGATTCGCGGGTGTTGCAGCCTCTGTCGCACAGTCCGTCGATCATCTCGAGTGCAGTGCGCGTCGTGGTGCGCGTCGCTGCGTGGCACGGCGGCTGACGTACTTTCTTGCACCTGGGGGTTTCTGCCTATAACAGTCCACTATGTACGGAACCAGGGATTCCGTAGGTCTATATGGCTTTAGTCGAACTGGAACTGCTGGTGACTAGCTATATAGTGGCTTGCCTGGATGCCCTGTAACCGTTGCCTCATGCGCCATGCGTCATCTCTCCTCACGTCACACGTGGAAAAGCGTCCGAAAGAAGTTCCCCGGACGTTGGCTGACGTGAACGTGGTCCATGGACCGAACCCCGTCGTCTGACCCTCCGCCGGCGCACCGGCGTTCCTCTTGGTTCGTGCCTCCACCGAGAGCTGGTCGCCGGCCCCGTTGCACGCAGCTGGCTCTGGGGTGGGCGCAGTCTGCCGTCACAGAAGATGGAGAGACACCAGCGAAAGCTCGCCAGCACGTGATGATGGCAAGCATATAATAAGCAACACATGTTTTGCCTGGAGCGTTTTTGGTATTGCAACTTAGATGCTTTGAGGATGAATCAGGCTTTGCCACTGTGCTTTGCAATCTGCGACCCTCTGGCCCTGTGGCCTGTCCATCACCGGAACGCCTCCCCCGCTCCACCCCGCGCCCGTCCATCTGTGCAGTGGAAACCTTGGGTTTCACGTCCTTCTCAGCCTGGCCACTCCTGTGTCACTCCTGGGCCTCCTGGCCACTTCGGAGGGAGTCGTTCCTGGGCGAAGGCCTTGGTCTCTCCTTTCTTCCCGTTAACAGGGAAGGGTCGATGGGTGCCCGTGCGCAGTGCCCAAGGGATTCGCATGAAAATATCGAATTGGCGCTGGATGGCGGTGGTCAAGAACAGAAGCTGTCCATCTCAGTAGCAGTAGGGAAGCACACATTGGGGAATTGTTTGGTGCATATGATGTTGTATGATGGTTGAACCTGCACGCGGATTGGGGTCTCCTCGCTCCATGCCACCCGCCCGTGCTCGGCCGCGACGCCAGCGACTGACGCCCCGCGGGCGCTGGTGGGACAGGACGTGCCATGCACCGACTCACTGGGACTTACGTGAGGTGTCAAGCACTGCGAGGGCCAGGCCCGAAAAGCAACACGACCGGAGGTCGTGGGCGAAGAGGTCGTTGGACCTTCGCAGACCTGGCGGAGAGGGTGGAAGGTCAACGCCTACCGGTGTCCGGAGCGCTGTTTCGGGCAGAGGTGGAGAAGGAGCACGAGCTCCCCTCCGGAGCTGATCCAAAGCTGAGTTGCTGCAGCGTTAAACGTTCTTGCAAGCACCCTGGACCTTGAGCCCGCCTCTACATTCGCCATTCGCAGCTGGGTTCTGAGTGAAGCAGCTTCATGCTTGGTCTTTGGC